CGGCCGATCCGCGCGTCTTCCCGTTGGCGACGGATCACGCTGGTCGCCGCCAGCTGGACTATTCCGTCGCGCTGCGGGACGCTACCACCACGCCACGGGACGATTGGCCGATCAAGGGGCCACGGACGACCCAGTGGTGCTTGGAGCACATGCGTCGGAACGCGGGCGGCCCTCTGGCCTGGCACTCGAAGTGGAAGGCGGAGGCGAGGCTTCGCGACTCGGATGCCATCTGCCAGCAGCATGAGATGAACTGCAGGCTGCTGGAGATGGCCACCTGCTACGACCAGCTCAACGCGTCAGAGCTGGCGACCTTTGAGCTGGTCAGTCGGCAGACTCAGCTCATCGAGGAGCGCCACTACGAGGAGGCGGTGGCTGCGCAGGTGGCGGCCGAGGAGAAGAAGGACAAGAAGCAAGGCCTCGGGGCGAGCGAGAGTCTGCTCGCGTCGGAGGCCGAGCACTACATGGGCGTGTCGGCGAGCAAGGGCAACCTCTGCATCTCGCCAATGCTCACGGAGTTCATTGCAGAGCAGCTGAAGGCGGAGGCAGCTGTTGCCAAGGAGAGGCGCAAAGCCCGCGAGGAGCGGGCGGCGCGCGCATAGGCCCTCGGAAGCTTCTCCCAGGCGGGTGCAGGCACCTCGGTGCCGCCTGGGCGACCCCTGCATTTTCGCATCGACCAGCGTCGCCCCCGTCTTTGATCGAGGTTGGGAGACCTCGGCTCGCCAGCCCCCTTGCAGCTCCGCAATGAAGCCTGCAGGGCGTCAGCGTGACGTGTTCCCTCTGCCGCCGCTCGCGCTGGATGAGCGAGCTGCTTCCTGTCGCAGCCGGCGGGGCCAGCAGCGGGCGCAGCGTGGAGCCGCGTGGAGGCGTTGGGCTAACGACGGCATCGCGGCGCTCAACCAGCTGAGTGGCCACGGTGCAGGTGTGGCGGCGCCGCCAGGGCTGACGTCATCAGCTGCCCAGGCGAGCGCGCTGGACCACATCAGCCAGGCCTTTCGCGATTTTCCTGTGCCTCCTGACTATCATGAGGACCGAGTTTCAGGCGAAGCAGCCCTTGCAGAGCTGCTCTCTTCGGCGCCTGGGTATTCCGCGGAGTCTCAGCGCGTCAAGCCCTACAGCAAGGACCTGGTGTCCTGGCCCGACATGTCTACCGCACCTGTGAAGGTTACAGAGTTGGTGGATCAGGCCGATCGTGAATGCTTGTTGGGATGGAGACGGACCATGCTCAAAGGTGAGATGTCGGCCTCTGATTCCCGAGATGCGCCAGCTCCGCGGCACCCGTACGTGGACCCGATTTTGGCCAACAACCCTCGCGCCTACGCTGGTTTCGTTGGGAAGTTGCTTCAGGGTGGCATGATTAGCTTCCGCGTGGCGCGCGCTGCTGATCCTTATAGTTTGGGATTTTTCTTTGTTGGGAAGGTGGGTAAGGGCACGTTGAGACTCGTGTTCGACACAAGAGTGGCGAACGAGGATTTCGAGCCCCCGCCCAAGACGACGCTTCCGACGGCTGCGGCTTGGTCCGCCTTGGAGTCGCAGCGTCCCGTCGTTCTAGCGCAGGGTGACATCCAATGTGCATTCTATCACATGCTGGTGCCAAAAGGGATGGAGGAATGCTTCACGCTGCCCACTATTTCAAATCAGTTGTTGGGGATTACTCACGTCGACGGGTTGCCAGTGGCTAGCGACTGCTATCTTCAGCCCATGGTGCGCGTGTTGCCGATGGGATGGAGTTGGTCGCTTCTGTTTTGTCAGAGCATCATGCGCAGGGCTCTAGTGGAGAACGGGTTCAGTGACGGATCGTTGATCGAGGACGGCCGCCCCAGTCCTGTGCTGCACTCGCCTGTGAGTTTAGCTGCTGTTGGATACGTTGATAATTGTGCAGTCGTGGGTTGTGATGCAAACATTGTGACGGCAAAGAGAGATCAGATTACGCAGACGCTTGAATCGTGGGGGTTACCTATTCACTCCATCGATGCGGCTTCGCCGAAGACTGTCTTCACTGGTCTCGAAATCGACGGTGAAAAAGGCACTGTGCGGGTGAAGCCCTCCAACGTCTTGCGCCTGCGGCATGCCATTCTGGCTGTCCTGCGGCGTGGGGCGGCCTCGCCCCGCCTGCTGGAAGTCTTGCTCGGGCATATCACGTGGGCGATGATTTGTAAAAGAGAGACCTTGTCTATTCTACACTCTGTCTACGCTTTCAAGTCCCTCAAGGACCCCAACGTCAGGCCTTTGGAACTCGGTAAGGTTTGAGCTCTGGTGCGTGGCTAGTACGCTGCCTCTGTGGCCCTCGCATTTTGGTATTCCTTGGGGTTCGCGGGTCTCCGCTTCGGACGCGTCTCCTATTGGCGTCGGCGTCTGTACTCGAGATCTGGACTGGCCCCAGGTGGCCGACATGGGAAGGGTTACGGAGCGGTGGAGGTACAGGTGCACGGCAGCAGTTACAGCAAGGGCAAACGCATTGGGGCTGGATGAGCTCCACCTGGAGGAGGGCATCTTGGACTCCGTCGCCGTGGACTACGTCGAATCGTTCAACCCCGAGGGCTCCGTCAAGGGCTTTCTGGAGGTCCCCAAGGAGATCATGGAGGCCTCAGCTTGGGCCACGGTCATCTCGAGGAGGCATTGGGATCCCATGAGGAACATATTGGAGCTCGAGGGGGAGGCGTTGCACGACGCCGTTCGCCACGCGTCCCGTAACGTCAGCTTGCGCCATCGTCGTCATCTCTTCTTCGTCGACAGTTTGCCATTGGCTTTAGCCGCTGGAAAAGGGCGGGGGCGCAAGCCTGTCCTTCGGCGACCTTTGCGGAAAATTGCTGCCCTCGCTCTTGCAGTCAACTTCCGATGCTATGTGCGGTGGCTGCCCTCTGAGCTGAATGTAGCGGACGGCCCGTCTCGGCACGGCTTCTTCCACGGCAAAAGCTTCGAGGAGGCGGCCGCGGGCGCGCCAGGGACAGCCAGCGGCGGTTCAGCGCTCCATCACGCTGAGGGTCGCTCGGAAGCAGCAGCATCCACGGCCGATGCAGCTGGCGGAGGGCGCCATCAGCTTCCTGGAGATGTCTGCCGTCACGGACTCGACCAGGGAGCGCTACAGGGGTCACGCCGAGAGGTTCCTCGAGTGGGTGACTTGGCACGGCCTGGACTTTCACTCGGCCCCGCAGCTGGACGTGGCGCTGGTGGCGTTCATGACCGACCTGGCCTTGGACGGGTTCGACTCCGCCACGGGGAGGATGTCAGTAGCCGCTCTGAGGCATTTCTTGCCCCAGCTGCTAGGCGGCAGGCGTCCTCTCCCTCGAGCGGCCCGAGCCCTCGACGGCTGGCGGCGGCTGGTCCCCCCGCAGATGCGGCTCCCACTGCCGCGAGCTGCGGCCATGGCAGTTGCTGGTTGGATGATCTCTCGCAACTTGCCCAGCATGGGGGTGTTCGTGGCGTTGGTGTTTCATGCGTACCTGCGGCCCTCGGAGGCTTACCGTCTGAGAGTGAGCTCGCTGGTGCCGCCGATAGCTGGGGCGGGGTTCAGCTCATGGGGGATCATCGTCAACGACGCGAAAGCAGGCCGGCCTGGCAAGACGGGCGAGACCGACGAGTCGGCGCTGGTGGATGCGCCAGAGCTCTGGCCCGTGCTGCTCGCGCTGAAGGCCAACAGGGAGCCCAGCGCCAGCCTGTGGAACTTCAGATCCGCCGACATTCGCCTGATGTTCGCCCAAGGCTTGAGGGAGCTCGGGCTGCAGAAGGAGTCCCCGTCCTTGTACACCCTCCGCCATGGGGGGGCCTCGCACGACTTGCTCTCGGGGTCCCGATCGTTGGCGGAAGTGAAAGAGAGGGGCAGATGGGTGACGGACAAGAGCTTGAGACGGTATGGCAAGCGCACTCGGATGCAACAGAGAATCGGAGACCTGCCCGTCGAAGTCAGTCGCTTTGGAAATCAGGTGCTCGAAAGATTGGCGGAGCTCATCGTGTGCAGTTTTGTGGAAGGCCATTTCCCGCTGGCTGTTCCTCTTCAGCCCATGCCTGCCATCCCGCCAGTCGCAAAGCGGGCGCCAGTTCTGACCGTGCGCTAGCTTCTTGTTTGAACGGGGCGTTTCGACGTGCTCACGCGTGGGCTTCTCGCCGCAGGCGGCTCGTTTTGCCTGTGCTGGGGCCTCATGGGGCCCCCATATGCAAAGCGCTGCGCAGTCGCGGTTTGGGTTGCCCATCGTTCGGAGCAGGTCGGAGCGCGAGTCTAGGTTTGACTGAGCGAGTAGTGGTCAATCGAATCCTGGGCTGGATTCGGTCGTCCGCTGTCTGCGCTTTGTGGATCTCCTTGTCTCGTAGTACCTGGACGCAGCCAGGCGTCCCGCCTTGCCGTTCTGTGGCGGACCCTTGGGGTCGCAAGTACGGCGCGTCCAATTCAGTGTTGCTCCCTGCCTTTCTGTGTGACAATGTCGAGATGCAGGCTGTCATTCACATTTTGCGTGCCTGTGTGCTTCGAGCATCCTCGTAGCAGTTTGATCTGGCATGTTCCTCAGCTAGTTGAGCTAATGAACCATTCTGCGTGTCTCAACGTTCAGGTGGACCTGTGTCAATTTGGTGCCGCAGCTCGCGCTCCCACACGTGTGTGTTGTTGGCACTGCCCCAGCTTGTCTCGCCTGGCTCGCGTGTGTGATCACGGTAAAGAGTGCTGCTCGTTTTCGGGGCGACCTCACATGCGTTTTGACGGCCGCACGGCAAAAGGCGTAGCGTGCAGGCACAAGGCTGCCCGCTTTCCCGCTCGAGCAGCCGAGCTTGTGGCAGATTCAATCGTTTCGTCGATCGAGGAATTGTCGCAGGCCCGATCTTATTTCTTGGGCGGCCTGCGGCCATGAGTTTTGTGTTACACAATGTACGTCTGTACTGCCCGCGAGTGTCCTGGTCACTCTGGGAGTCGAGGCCGTCGTTACCTGCCATCGCCACCGTCAGCTTCTCTAAAAAGAATGTTATGGCCTCGGGGACCCGACCTGGCATTGTAACAACTTTAGTGTGGTGTGTGCTGGGGAAGGGGCTGAGGGGCCGCACGACCGCAACCGTTGTGCTCAAGCTCCCGAACCCACCCGCCCTCGCTTGAGGGTTTTTGAATAGATTTAAGTCTGCGTCTGTGCTGCCCGCGAGCGTCCTGGTCACTCTGGGAGTCGAGGCCGTCGTTACCTGCCATCGCCACCGTCAGCTTCTCTAAAAAGAATGTTATGGCCTCGGGGACCCGACCTGGCATCATCATCATCATCATCATCATCATCATCATCATGTCCATCGTTGTCGCCGTCGCAATGATACCGCGCCCGCCCAAGCCACCGACGGGCACTGGCGTGCCCGCGCGTCAGCGCGGCCTGCGAGACGCGCTGGGAAGTGCCCAGCGGTCAGCGCCACCGCGGCCGCGGCGGTCGCGCCAAACTAGCTGGGCCAGCCAAGCACTCATCGTAATCACCGCCGCATGGGTTCTGCAAAAAATTGCGGGCGGGTGGGCGGAACGAGTGCGCGAGCAGTGGCGCTTGCAGCCCCAAGCTTTTTTTAACATTAGTTGCACCACGTGCGCTGCTCCGCATAGACTGCACAGCGTAGATGGCCAGAAGTGCACGGTTTGATGCTCCCGCTCGCTAACATTAAGTCGGGCCTGTCGCCCTACAGGGGGGTTTTCGACGAGAAATAAGACATACCCTCAAAATACTCCAAACACAATCCAAGCATAGTCTGGGGATTGTTTTTGTTGGTATTTGTTTACCTTTTGGGGGGTATTTTGAGGGTATTTTTTATTTTTCCTCGACAACCCCCCTGTAGGGGGACACGCCCGACATAGCGCTGACATGCGCCCACGGATTCCCAGTCGCTCCTATTGGGCTCACTCGGGGCGCGGGCACAAGTCCGGAGAAGGCAGCCGTGCGGCGCAGTCTCGGGCCAAGGCGGTTGCCGGGCCGGGCGGTCTGGGGCTCCCGGGCTCCGCTTTCTGTGGAAGTCGTCCCCCCCAAAAAAACCAAAGAAACCCAAACACCATGCCGCTCATCCCTGTAACCGTCCCACCCACCCCCCCCCCAAAAAAAAACCCAAAGTTCCAGAGGAGATGGCCACATGCGAACCCCACCCCTGCCCCCCACGACTTCCGAGGGCGAGGGTGGGGTTCACTTCGCTTCCGAGAGCGAGCTCCCGAACGAAGTGGACCCCCCACCCTCCCCCCCAGAACTCGTGGGGGGCAGGGGCGGGGCTCGCATCTGGCCCCCCTGCCCAGGCTGCTGTTGCCTTCTGGATCGGGGAGACGCAAGACTCGAGTGCGCCGGGCCTCGGGTTCGCCCGCGTTTCTTGCCGGGCGCGCCCCGCGCTCTCGGGGCGCGCTCGTCCTGGGTTTCTCTGGGCGTTGGCGGCGGGGGCTCGCGTCAGATTTCAGGTTGGGTCCCGTCATTTTCAGGATGGCCCCGTCGGGCCAACCCGAATCCCCCGAACCCGAGTCTCACGTCTCCACGAGATGAAAGCCTTGTAGCGAAGCGCTCTTTGGGAAAAGTGATGCTGCTCACGCTTTTTACCCCCCCCCAGTCATACGGGTCATACGGTTGTGGAGGACGACCAATGGAGAGGAAGCGTGTTGACAAATAATCTCCAGATGTCTAAAACACGTGTTCCACATGATGTAAACATGTAGAATCATGTTTGGAACCGTTCTCCGGCATGTTAAACAGATTTTTAATTCAATGATAGGAATGTTAAGGTGTCCATTGCCGTGGCATCCCCAGTCGTGCGGAGCCCCAGGAGCCATCGCCCTGTGCCTCGAGGGCAGGGGCGCCGTCAACAAGTGGCGCCTGCTCTGCGGGCCCGCGTCGGCCGACGCGGCCCGGCAGCGGGCGCGCACGACCATCCGCGCCCGCTGGGGCACCCGGGGGGGGCAACGGCTCGAAGAAGAGTCGGAGGACGCGTAAAGGGAGGGGGGGGCGAGAAAGGGGTCGACTGTGAGGACGGCGACTCGAAGGAGGAGGACTCCACTCCAGAGCTTCCTCCACCTCCTCCTCACCTTCCTCCTCCTCCTCCTCCTCCTCCTCCTCCTCCTGGCCCTGGTGAGCGTGGCTGCCAGGGCGCACCCAGCCGCCACCCCCGCCGGGGCCCAGAAAAGGCCTGTCCAGGAAGCCCCCCAGTGTCGACTAGACGTAAGAGTGACCTTTCGCCGGAGTGACCTTTTGGTGCGGGCACAGATGGGCCCCCAGATGGCTGAACGCGAAGCGGTAGCAGCGGCTGGCGCGCCTGGATTTGGCCTCCCCGCGGCCCCCCCAAAGCCGCGCACCAAAGGTCACTCTTACCCAGGGTCCCCCTTGCGTATAGCCGAATGGGGGGGCAGCGAGGGCTGCCAAAAGGAGAGGCCCTCTAGGGCCCCTCAAGGGGCCCTTCGGGGCCCAAGAAGGAGCCTCTTGGGCTCGAAAGGGGCACCTTTCCCCCCCCCCATCTATTTCACCACCCACCAAACCACCCCAACCCAACCCGAAGGCCTCAATTTGCCCTCCATTTCCAGTGGGGGGGGGGGGTCCAGGAACATCGAAAAAGCACATATGGAGCCCATACCCCCCCCCAACCCGAAATTCGGGTCTTCGGGTTGGGTTGGGGTGGTCTGGTAGGTAGTCACTATCGCCTCCCATCAGCTCGCGCCCCAAGGCAAACACTGCACAACCCTAAAACGTCTTGGAGCTCTGCGCGGGAATGCCCCCGGGTCGGCACCGGCCCCCCCCTTTGGCGGCCGCCAGAAGTTGCCGTCTCTGTGCAGCCCTCTGTTCCTCTGACGGCAGGGGGGATGTTCGAGGCCGGAGATTGTCGGATCTTTCCGTAGCCTTTCAAGCTCAAGGGGCTTCCCTTCGACTCAATTACGACGTTGTTCAATTTCGCTTTGGACTGGCACGCTTCAGGAGGAGGCCCTGGGAGAGGGGTAGAAGCAACGACGCTGTGGGGAAAGGGGAAGGAACGACGACGACGACGAAGAGGGAACAGACGGAGAAGCCTCTTCCACATGCCGACAGGGTCGGCGGATTGTCGGATCTCTCCGTAGTTTCTCAAGCGGCCTCCTTCACCTGCTAATGGGGGTCAGGCTCTCGGGGGTCAGGAGAAGGTATGTAAGCTTGCTTCTTGGATTTGTCCCTGCTCGGGGCCGTACTTGACACAAACTACACGTATTCCTTGCCCTGTCCTTGGTAGTTCGTTCCTCTCGGCACTCTTCGCCTGGGCTCAGATCTGTTGTCCTTCGTTCGCCATTCGCTGCCTCTGACCCCCAGAAGTCTGACCCCCGCTAGCAGGCGAACGACGGCCCCGTCAGGCCAGCTCGAGCCCTCCAAACTCGAGTCTTCGTCCTCCCCGATGCAGCGGGATTGGGCTCAGGGGGCAATGGTCTCAGGGGGGATTGGCCTCAGGGGAGGACTGGGCCAGGGGGGAGGTTCGAGGCTCGAAGGTATGGGACACTTTCGTCGGCTCCCCGCGGTTTTCCAGCCTCGCTGTGCGTTCCAGCGGCTGGGCCTCGCCGCGGGTGTTCCCGGGGTGCCCGGATCGTCCCAAAGGGCCGCCGGAGAGCCGAGCTATGACCCGAATGCCACAGGGATAGCGTCAGGGGGGGATGGGCTCATGGGGGAACGCATCGACCCCCAATCGCGCATCCACTCGCCGAAAGGGGCATGGTAGCCCACCCCGCCCCGCCCTGGAACGTGCGGTTTCGCTGCGGGGGGCCTGTCGCCAATCCAACGTCGATGTACCGCCGATTCCAGCTCGAGGTTCCGTCCCTGAGCCAGTCCCCCTCGTATCGCTGCTTGCCCCTCAGGCACGGACAGCACCAGCAACGCGGTGCACTGCAGCTCCTCGCTGGAGGCGGCAGAGAAGGACGCGCGGTCGAGGCAAGGGCGGCCATTCCCAAGCGTTTCTCAGGGTCTCGGGGCCTCCCGGGGGCGTCTCGTTGCCACCGCGGATCCGCTGCGCCAAACGTGTGCGGAGCCAGGGGCCGATTTCGACCAGACTCGGGGGGCGGGGGAGCTCGATTGTAAAAAAAAATCTGTCCACGCCCACCGCTATTATGCGGAGTAGTCGTGCCCTGAGACCCCCAGGAGTGACGAATGCGGGCATTCTCTGGCCATCTGGGGCGGGGCAGATGTCGCACGAACGGGTGGGTCACACGAACGGGTGGGCCTGGCCACCACTTTGCACTGCGCGGGATTCGGTCCCGATCGCCTTCTCTTTGCCTACATGGAGGAGTCCACTTCCCATCAGTTGGGAAGCTGGCAGTTTTCATCATCAGGTGTTTGCGCTGAAAAAAATCTGGGGCGGGGCAGATATGAATAGCCACCATTCCCCGAGGTCCGACAATCTGTAAGACGCCTGTTGACCCAGCGCGTATTCATCCAGCTCGGCTCCGCCGACAGCACGCGGCCTGCGTCGGCCTTCACAGTGCCGCCTGCGTCGTACGAAAATCGGGTCGGGCGAAAGGGGGGGTTTGGGAAAGGGGGGGGGGTACGAAATTTGCTGCATGCAGCTGGTATTGGCCTCACCGATCGGGCCCATTCCTCGATACATGGGCGCCGGGAGGCGCCGGGAAAATCAGCTACGTGAGCTGATTCTCAAACCCCCCTTTGCTATCCCCCCCCTTTCGCCCGACCCGAGAAAGGTCTGCGGTGGACAAGCACGCGCTGGCGCCAGCACGCGTTCTGAACATCATCGAGGCGTGCGCTGCCTCGACCCAGTTTCGGTGGATAATGGAAAGCTGTTGACGGTGGCAGAGCCGCCGTCGTCTCCGGCCTGCCTCCGAGCCAGGCCCAGCGGGCCTCTGCCGCCTATTGGGCGTCCAACGTTTTTGCACGGTGCGTGCGTGTATGTGTGTTTAATTATGTGCTTCCCGTGCGCTGCTGTCTAGCCTCGTTCTTACCGCCCTCTGGACTTTTCCTTGCGGGCCGCGAATCAAAAAAGTGTGTATGTGTGTGGGTGTTTGCGTGTGCGTGTGTGTGTGTGTGTGTGTGCGAGAGAGAGGGAGAGATATCAATTGGCACTGACA